CTTTTCTCCTCCTTGGGCATTGCATGACATGGGTACACTTATCTACATGCAGGCAATACACATATACACATAAAATAAAATTTTAAAATGTACATTAAAAAATTCTCCTGTAAAAGACTTTTAATCTCAAAAAGTAAACGCTCACAGGTTTAAAAATGAAGTAAAAGCTGGGAGTGGTGGTGCACACCTTTAATCCCAGCACTTGGTAGGCAGAGGCAGGTGAATCTCTCTGAGCTTAAGGCCAGCCTGGTCTACATAGCGAGTTCTAGCCAGCTGGGGCTACAGGGAGACTCTATCTCAAAAGGACCAGGACAAAATATGAAGTTAAAGTGTTAGGAATATTTCACAACTCCATTCACTTAAATGTTGTACTAAATGCAACAGTGAGAAAAAAAGACAGATGTGCTAGACATGCTGAACTTATATAGTCTATCCAGGAAAACTGGTATCAAAAAAAATTTTTTTAATTAAAAAAACCCAGTAAAATACGAAGAGTGGCATAATAAAATTCACTGCTATGGGAATACAATTCAAGGACAACAAAGCTTTAATAAGGAGGTCAAATAAGAATTCCTGAAGAACATGTCACTTAAGCAAAGGTAAGAGGGTGAATATACTCTAATATTTAAGGGAAAGAACAAACAGGCCCTGAGGACTGGTTATGAGGGAAAAGTGATGGCAATCTCTAAGATGGAGAGATGAATGGGTGGATGGCAAAGGTGTTCATTAACGGAGATCAAAAGTGTTGCTGCAACAATAGTCTTGGAAGTCAGACAGTAAAGATGATGACCTGAACTCTGGGCATGTCAAATATAGAGTCATACAAATCTTCTCAGGAGTGCCTAGAAGACAGTGTAAACATAATAGTCTGGGGCCTTGAGAAACCATCTGGAATGGAGTTCAAAACAAAACAAAACAAAACAAAAAACAATGAGAGGAAATAAGATGTCCTCAACAACCAACCAACCAAACAGGCATAATATGTGAAAGAACAGCAGAGAAAGTACATTCCACTTAAAATAAAAAGGAACAGTCAGAGACAGGGATAGAAGAGGACCAACAAGGAAGTTCTAAAGACAATTATTTTTGAGAATTCGTGTAAAAAGGCTAAGAAGGAACCCCTGGATATAGCAAAGAAGAAGGCTGGTAGGCAAGGTAGTGTGGAGGAGAATGCTGGGTGGCAGGAGGCTAAGGAGCAAGGACCAGACAAGTCCTGTCTGTTAGGTCAGCTTGCTATTCTGCTATACCCCAGGATCTACAATAGTGTGTAGCAAT